TTTTAATTTGAAATCAATCTTTAATGAACACTAAGCACAGTGTTCATCATTTTTTTAAACCTACATCATTCCATCTAAGCACATTGCTTTGAGTCAGGGCACCATCTGTCTTCATCCAGCCCAATCTCACCTCAGATGCTTACTACACCAAACGGTTTTGTCAGACAGAAAGCACAAATCCCTGTAAGTGTTAAACAAATCCTCAGTAGAGTCACTTGTAATTATCTGATCAAAGGTTAAGATCTGAAATGTGTTCATCCAAGAGGAGTGAGCAGGATGATTTTACTCTGAAACAGACTTGTGTGTTTTATGTGTGAGTGTCCAAAAACACCAAATAAATCAACTAAAATTAGTTTTTATTTGAAACAAAGTGTGAACAGGTTAAGATGCATAAAGAATCAACAGCTAACAGGTGATATAAAAGAAAATCGAAACCCTTTTTAATAATCCAAACACACTCGGGTGGAAATACCCAGAAGGAGCTCCACACAGAGAGCAAAGATGAAATCCTAAACCTTAGAAACAGCTGCTGGCGTTCATTTTCTCAGGCTCTCACATCTCCTCCTAATATTAAAAAAAATCACCTGCAGGCTGTTCTTTACCATCCAACTCAGATATCACAGATAAAAACACTTATTAATGTTTTTAGAAACTCTGGAATGTATTCCCATTCGACCGGAACCTCACTGCGCTGAGATTAGTGAAGACAAACTGGGAACAACGTTCAGGGAGTTTCTAGGATGTCTTCAGACATCCTGGAGGGTTCTCCGGGTCTCGCTCTCCTTTTGCTGGAATTATGAACAAGTTTAAACATTTATTCAACAGATTTCCTTTTTGAATAGAGTCTAGAGCTCATCTGTAACCCACATGGAAACCAGTCTACAACTAATTTAGTTGAAAACCTTGTCATAATCAAGTCTGGAATCATTCTGGAACTAGTCTGGAACCATTTTAGAGGCTTTCTGGAACCAGTCTCGAACCATTATAGAACTAGTCTGGCACCAGACTAGAACTAGTCTTGAACCAGTCTGGAATTATTCTGGAATCAGCTGAGAACTTGTCTGGTGATGTTGATGTGGAACCAGACTCAAACTCTTCTTGAATCAGCCTTGAACTGGTCTGGAACTGGCTTGAAACCTTTTTCAGTTTCAGAAAGTGAAGGAATAGGAGACGATTCAGGGAGGAATTTGAGACCAACTTGGGAGACATGCTAGAGACACTTCTTGTCGTGTTCTGAGGGTGGAGATGGCAGACCATGTGTGGTGGTGGGTTTCAGGAGGCAGAAGAGCAGGCAACGGATGAAAAAATAAAAATGGTTTAATTGTAGAACGGGAGCGACAGGACAAAACGAGCATGCACAAAACAACAAACAACAATGATCCGACGAAGACAGCAACAAGAAGGGAGGTATAAATACACAGGGAAATCAGGAACACATGGGCAGAGTAATGAGGGACAGGTGAGAACATTAAGGTTAATAAAGGCAGGAGAGACACAGTCAGGGAGGGCGGGGCGGATCATGACACTTCTAGACTAAAACGAAACAAGATCATTTACAGTGACCCAGTTGGAAGTAAAATTAAAACGACATACACATCAGTCAGATTTCAAAGGAACATTTACAGAGTTTTGTATCTCCAGTAGTTATAGCTCCGAGTGGAATGAAAGCATTTTTACATTTATCTTGTCTCTCCTCCCCTGGACTGTAAACACCATAATCCATTCTCTCTGTGTAGCTATAGCAGGAATTTTACTCTCCACAGTTATGAAGAAATTATTTCTTTCTTATCTAGTCTGCAATTTAAATAATGCCTAGAGCCCAATAATGGACTTTTGTCTGGAAGATGATTCCGGATCCAGTCTTCCTGAAGAAGATGGTTAGATTTTATCTTCAGAAACTCTCAAAAACGGAGCCAGAATGTGACCGTGATTTCAAAGACTTTTAAACCACAGCCATTACCAGTGTGTGTTTTCAGATGGATGACTTTATCAAACCAGCGCCATTCCAACTTTAAACTCACTTGACGGATAGGCCAAAGTGAGGAGTACAACCAAAATGCTAACAGCTAGCTTAATGGTTATAAAGTTCAGGGGCGCATTGGGACAATAAATCAGGCTCGGAATCTGTCACCTATATCACCTTTTCTCCGTTTGCATGTGTGTGTGTGTGTGTGTGTGTGTGTGTGTGTGTGTGTGTGTGTGTGAGCATGAGTGTCAGAAGACTGAACAATAACCTGTAGTATAATTAACGTCATCATGCTAGAGAAGCTTCTCTGTGGTGGACCACATCAGCTTCTGCCACAATAAATAATAATAATAATAATAATAATAATAATAATAATAATAATAATAATAATAAATCACACACAAAGTTGTGAACATTTTAATTACCTTTCTGAACTATTTCTGTTGAGAGTTTTAATGTTTAAAATCTGTTAGACTGTTACTGACAGCAGCTACATTTAAGTTTCACTTCCTGTTCTGACTGAACGCTGCTGCAACATGGAGGTTAGTTCTCAGTCATTCTGGACATGATCATCCTGAGAGTTTTAGCTGAAAACAGCTGGACGTTCCTGGATATGTTGGAGACATTTAGCCTCTCATCCCAGGGGCTTCTTCCAGACTTTGGTTGTGGTCAGAAACAAACACACTGGTTGTTTTGCAAGTCTTTTTCTTTTTTTTTCCAAAACATGTTTTTGTCTAAATGAAGGTGATGTTTTTGTTCATAGAATAAAAATTCATGTTGAAGTTAAGATGATTTCATCAAGTAGGACCTGTGGTTAGCTAGCTCATGTAAAGCATGTCATGTCTTGAAAGAATCGGAATCAGGAATCGATAGGAACCGGAATTGAAACAAGGAGTTGGAATCGGAATCGCTCAAAATCAAACGATGGCCAACCCTAATAATATACTACCTACCTACCTTTGCTCTGGAAGTTGTGAAATAGCACGATACAGGCACTTTAAATAGAACAGTTGGGCCTCTCACAGAATACTGCCACATCTAGGACACAATGTTAGATTTAGAGAACACACTAAGCCGTTATTTATATATTCAAAAACACTAAAATTTAAAGATTTAATTCAACTATATACAGCGACATTCATGTATAAAGTGCATAGGAAATTATTACCAAACAAATTATTAATGCTATTTATAAAACCAGATAACGTATATAATTTCAGATACAAACTTAACTTTAGGCATACATATTTTAGAACAACATTAAAGTCATTTTGTATTTCTGATTCGGGTGTAAAAGTTTGGAATAAGCTAAGTGGGGATCTAAAGCAAAGTCTCTCATTGCAGAAGTTTAAAGATACGTGTAAAAAAATTATACTAATTAATTACGTGGAGGATGAGGAAAAGTTGTAAGGGTGATGCCTTTGATTGTAATTGTCTGTTGTTGGTGAACTGGGAGCTGTGAATATGGGGGGGGGGGGGGGGGGGGCATAAAAATGTAAATTTTGTTTGTGTGATTGAGGATAAAACATGTTATAAGAAAATTGCTATGACACACAGTGTAGGGAAAATAATTTATTTGTTTGCTATTCCTTGAAATTTGATTACATATATATATGTGTGTGTACGGGTTTCTTTTTGAATACTTTTTGAATACTTTAATTAGTCTTTTGATCTACATGTTCAATAAAGAAAGAAATGAGAAATGAGCATGAAGTTCTTTATGTATTTCTGAGTTGTAAACAGTTCACATAAATCTAGATTCTAGAAATATCTAGAAAGATTATAGTTGGGCTTGTACCTAAGCTGATCCGCTCTGATTAGTACCTATACCGTCTTGCATATCAGCCACTTTATATCATTATTTTATCATGACTGTATTCATACTTCCTAAATTTTCTTATCTCTTATTTTTTATCTTCCTTTTTTGCACCAAGTACTGCAGCAATTTCCTAATGTTGCGATTGTCTGGCAATAAAACCCTTCTGATTCTGATTCTAGATTTCCCCATTAGGTTAACAATCCTCAGAACCCTGCTGGTCTGGACCGGTTTTAGACAGCTCCTCCTCCAGCAAGATCCAGTTTTATTCAACCTGAAAGCAAAACTAGTTTTGGATTTAATAGAAACGTTCAATTGTTTGCTGTGATTTAACTGGTTCAGGTTAGAGGAGAAAAGTGTAAAAGTGCAATAAAAATGCAGATGATTTCTACATGAATCCATTTTTGCCAGAAGAGGTTTTTCAGAAACATTTTTTTCTTTTTCATCATAGATGAGCAGTAAAGCTCTACAGTCCCGGAGAGGGTCATGTTTCCATCAAACGGTCATTCGTAGTCGAATTTCACTCAGAAATCTGTCACACAATGCAGCTAACAACGCTCAACCTGCCATTTCTTATGAAATACACACCGTGCTCCTTCCACTCCTCCTCGTTCCACCACTCTGCACCAGAGTGTCAAGCTTTCTCCTCCATCTCACCAGAGTGACAGCCTCAGCATTCAGTGGTTCTCCATTTCATTACAAAGTAAAGAAGGTGAGTAATATAAACCAGATTCCTCTCCTCCTGGTGCCATTTTTAGCTCATCCTCCCTCTCAGCCCGCCAGAAGAATGCTGTCCCATAGAGCTTCACCATTCTGTGTCTGCATGCCCTTTCACGCTTTTCTTACTCCCCAGTGGCGTTTGTGGGATCGATACAGGGTGCTAAGACCTTTCTCTCGTTAACGCTCAGCTAATTTCAGTTTGTCCGAGACTTTCTCACCTCCACCGCTCAACCCAGCATGAATCCACAACAGCGTTCTGCTTCTCACCTTTTCCTCAGATGGGTCTATTATTCCCATTGGTGGTGAAATGTGCCCTAGTTTGTGTGTCGTCTAAACCCTTTTACATCTGCTGGGTTGAGATAGCGGAGGTTTCACCCCCATGACCAAATGGTTTTCAAATAAGAACGAGAGATGCTTTGAACCTCACAGGATGCGGAGAAAAGCGACACCAGTCACATTGAGGATGTCTCCAGGATTATCATGAGGCCAGAGTCTCAC